ATTTTAGTAATATCAACTTCAATTTTTAAAACCTTAATCCTGAACCCGCCCCGAATCGGATTAGTTGCGAAGCGATGAACCGATTGGAATATTTCTAAAAAACTTTAATTTTTATTTTTATTTTTAAAAAATCGATTGATAAGGATAAAAATGCATGTAAGATCGAAAGAAACAAGGTAAGCTTTAAATTAGCATATGTAAATCTTTTAACACATACAATATGTAAAATGATCTTCATTTCCATGGTTTTTTTCTATAGAATTAAAATATTTGTCTGAATAAAATATAACTAATTGAATAATTAATGAAACGATAGAGAAATAAAAAAAATCCTGTTATTAAAATGGCTTTAAGAGTAAATTGTAAATATAAAATAAATTTATTTAAATACTATTATATTTAATGATTAAAGCTTTAATACTTCATACATCAATTACTTTAGTAACGTTGATATATTTTAAAAGATGTTATATTAATAATAAATCTTATTTGCAAATAAATGAATAATAACATATTTCAGTACAAAAAATAATAATTAATTAGGCATGAAAGAATTTCATCACTAAATGAAATATTTTTGTTATTATATAATTTAGTGACGAAATTAAGGATGAGTGAAAATTCGTCACTAAATACTTAGATAGTAATATTGGAATGGAATTACGAACTTGTCTCTAATAGAGATACAATTTGAGACAGAACAAATTGTTTCTATCTATTAAGGATAGATTTAGAGATAAAATTGGACTTAGAGAAATGTTTGTTTTTCGTCTCTAAATTTATCAATAAGGGAGTTAAAAAATTTACCATCCCCATTTCTCTGCCTAATTGTGAGATTTTATTATTCCATTTTGAATATGTCCCTATTAAAGATGAATTTTTTTCCATCTAGATGCCTTTCAATTGTTTTCATGACTCTATAAGCATTTAATATTATTTTTGACCAAGACTTTTCCAAGAAAAAACATAAGGATAAAGATAGAAGTGCCTACAATGAAAGAAGCAAGGAAAAATTTAAAATTAATACATATTGACTAGCTATAGTTATTTTCCTAACGCATATAATACGTCGGATGGTCTTGTCCTTTTCTAGGTTTCTTTCATAGAATTTCAAATATTGGCATTAAAATGACTTTAAAATTTTCATCGACAATTTTTTGTATAACAAATGTGAATTAAATAAATTATTATAATTTAATTAAATAAACATCAATCACAATAAATAAAATTATTATTATTCAGTATAATAATTTGATTAAAAATTACACACTTATATGTTGTTGCCGTGACTTATAATTTAATTTGTCAGTAGAAGAGTACATCATATTTTAGATTCTTAATTACTTATGTATTTTTGAATTTTAATATAAGAATAAATAAAAATGCACACTAAATTTGAATCCTATAATATTCTAATATCATTTGTCTCAACATACAAATAAAAAACTAGCCGTTTGTTTGAATTTTTAGAAAAAATAACTTTTATCTCTTTCTTATTTTAAAAATATTTTTTACAAAAGCTAAAGTTTTATTTATTTTTTTGATAAAAATATTTACTTTTTGAAAAAAATATTTGACTTTTGACTTCTGTTTTTTTTATTTTTTTGTGACTTCTGCTTTTTTTAAAAGCAAACATCTAAATAAACTTAAAGTGAAAATTATTCTTTTTTTTTTAAAAGAAAAAAAATTTGAAGAAAAAAAAACTTATCCAAACATGCCATAAAACTTAGAATAAAACTGTTAAACAATTAAAAGGCACCCAAACCAGTAAGTCCCCAGCATTGATAAACCTTCTCATGAGTAAACCATTGAACGACAAAATGCTAGTTTCTAGTTAAGCAAGAGCATCACACCTTAACAAGAAGTATCTCGCATGGAAGGTAAACTATAAAAGGCACCGAATCCAACCATTCAGGAGGTATATCAATCATGCTGCCATCGGGTCAAGTCGCGTATTATAATAGGAGAGATTTGAACTCATGTACGATAACCCACTAAGATTAATTCAGTGGTAAGAAATTTAGATAATTTGTATTAAATTATACATTCAATTTTTATTATTGTACTAAAAAAAATCATACATAATTATCTCCTTTTAATATATTTAAACTCATCAACCAAATACGAACTTGTGTAATATGTTTGCAAGTACCAAACCTCCCTTATACTAGCCAAAACACAGAGTTAGGATATTGAAGATCCCATCCAACATAACAAAGTTGAGATCATATCGTATCCATTCATCCTATCAACACATTTATTTGGACCATGTTTAATCGTTGTGTGGTAAGACCCATCTCTTTGTGATCAAATCGAATATAATATTAATAACGAGTTCAAAAAGTAATGAGTGTGAATATTCAGGTGGGAATCGCGGTAAAATGATAATTTAACATGATTTATTTGCATAATAAGATGAAGGTAAAACTTAAAAAAAAAAAAAAAACTATATGTATTGGATTAGGATTTTAAAAGACTTTTTTGAGATAAAAATTCCTACAGATTTTAAAAGACATTTTAAAATTGGAGAGACTTTATAGACTTTTTTAGAAGACTTTTTTTACAATCAAGATTTCATAGAATTGTATTTTAAAGGATTTTAATAGAATTCATAAGATTTGAAAGGACAATATGGATTTATAAGATTTTAAAAAACTATATAAATTTTTAGCAAATATTCAAAATTACAAGAGTCAATAAAAACAAATAACAAAGAAATGCAATGATATTAATAAAAAAAAAAGTAAACTTAACAATGGGTTGAAAATTATCTCAAAAATTACTAAGCAACAACTCTCCACATATCAATAAAATCTAATATAAATTTCTTATTGAGTTTGAGTTTGATTTGCGAAAATAATAACTATATATCAACGGTTAACTTCCAAGTTAAATATTAATTAATGAGTTTGATTTGTGAAAATAATAACCATTGATTGACGGAAATCAACGGTTAAAATATGGTTGTAAACAAAAATAGGTTGTAAGTATAATATACCCCATAAAAAATAACAAAGAAATGCAATGAAATTAATAAAAAAAAGCAAAACCTAATATAATTTTCTCACTTAGCAAAACATAATATAATTTTTAACAAACATTCAAAATTACTAAACAACAATTTTTCACATATCTAATGGGTTAAAAATTATCTTCTTCATTTAGTATCAAAGTTATGCATATATGATTATAAGACCCAATTTTTTTAATTATAAAAATAATTCTAAATTTGCATATAGAACCTAAAGTTCATCATAAAATTTCGTTTGAAATTTTTTGTAATTGATCTTGAAAACCTTGGGGTTTTCATTTTACGTTATGAGAGTTTTCTAACCATATATCATATGCATATTTTCATTGAATATTCTAAGAAATTTTTGAATCTGAAATTTTGGGTTTAATTACATGAAAGTTTAGAAAATTTCTCAAATTTTTTTCACTCGATACATTCAAACCTTAAATTGTTTTGGAGCTTTTGAGAAACAAGTTTTTAGTTATCTATTGACACAAAAATTGTTTTAAATTGTTTCTTATAGTGAAGAAATTTCGTTCATGAATGTATTGTTACGAAATATAGGGTTCATATTATGAAAGTTTCAATCTTTCTTTAAATTGATATTGCTTCATTGATGTAAAACGAAAATTGGTTTGAGGGTTTTAGTTTCCCTGTTATTTTTTCACTGTTTTATGTTGTTTTTAATACAAAAGTCACACGTTTTTGTGCCAAGAAAAACTGCGACCCATAGCTTGAAAAATCACTTTTTAAACTTCCAAAATTTGGGTTGTTTTGTGATGAAAATCGCTCAATTTTTTTTTTTTTTTAGTTTTGACGAAGCTCCCATGGCGGAACCCAATTTCGAGCAGTCAATCTGTCAAAGGAAGAATAAAACAATGCAACAGAAGAATCTCAAGAAATCCTAGGGGTTGAGGTGAGACTGTGAGAGAGACATCCTATATATATTTTTCACTAAAAAGTCTCACGAAATCCACACCAATAGAAAATCTATTAAAATCGTCGGATTTTTGAATACCACGAGATTGTGATTCCATTGTTTAAAATCCTGATTGAATACCAACGAATTTGGACAGATTTTAATAATCCTTTAAAATCCTAATCGAATACCACGTGACTTTTTTTCAATCCATTAAAATCCTAATCGAATACCAACGGATTTTTTTATCCAAAAACAATCCATTAAAATCCTTTGAAATCTCAATCCAATACACACCCTAAGTTTCGAACTATTGAAACTAATCAAATACATCTCACGTATTGGAATAAAAATTACAACTTAAATAAATAATAACAAACTTATAGAAGATGTTAAAAAAGAAGAAGGAAAATTACATACAACATAAATTATTTGGTTTAACTCTGCAACTCATTTCGGTTGAAGTCATTTCCATCAAACAATACATAGTATTACATAACAATTAAGTGTATTTTTTTTTTTTAAGTTTGTGTATTGAAATAAATGAACTATAGAAAGAAAAATCTATAGCAGAACAACTTTATATTTCATGTATTTTTTTAAGAAAATATTTTATCATTTTAATCATTAAATTATCATGATTTTATAAATTATGTAAAGTTATATGAAATTTTCCAAATATGAATTACTTTTTTATTTTTTAAATTAAATTAAATTTATAATTTTGTTAATATTATATTTATATTTTCCTCTTAAAAAATAAAGTTTGTGCGCATCTCCACGATTTTTATATTATAATAAAATAATGCATATTTTTAAATTTCATTTTATTATTTTAGAAAATTTATTCATCATGAAAAATATTTTAAATAAGTTATTTAAAAAACAATTAGTAGCAAAATATTTTTTTTTGAAAAAAATAAAAAATAAAAAGTGAGCAACAGTGTTGACTGTTGAAGACTTAAAGTTCCACTAGCCCCACCCAAATTTGGTTGTCTTCAATTTCATTCACTCAGCTTTTTCTGTCTTTTTCCCTGCAATTTCTGCTTCTCTTCCTTTCTCTGCAGAGCTTTTTCATCTACTTCCCTTTCTTTTTCTCTCTATTTTCTCACAGTTCCTATTTTCCACTGTTTCTCTCTCAGCTGAAGAATTCGTGGGCAAGTCCTTGTTCTTGTGATCCGTGAGTTTCTGGGTCTCCCCTGTGTGCTTCCATTGTAGTTCATGCTGTTGCTTCTCCTTTGATTGATTACGTTTCCTTCTCTCTCTCTTTTTTTATTTAAGTTGCAAATAAATGCAAAGTTTTTTTTTTTAATCTTATTTTTATGGAGAATAAGGGTGTTTGAAATCTGGGTTGATGATTTAATGTGTGTAATTATGGGTTTGTGTAATTGCAGTGAGAATTGGTGTGGAACCGTTTACTTCCAAAAGTATATTCCTTTCGAGTTGTGATTTTAGTTTATTACTATTTGTTTAATCATTGAGTAAACAGAGAAAAGGAGGGGGAATAAATAAACTATAGAATCTCCAGATTTTGGTTTATGTCATGTTACTTCCTCTTTTTTATTTTTCCTCAGTATATATTCTTCGGCTATATTTACCATATTTACCAGAAAAGAAATTGAAGATTTGATGCAAGGACTTTTTAGAATCATATGGTTTGGACTTTGGAGAAATCATATAAAGTGGAAAGATTTTAATTTTTTTAATATTATTATTATTAATTTTTTTTTTTTTTTTTTTTTTTTTTTTGTTGGGGAGGGGGTGGAGCGCTATTTACTCTTTTTCTTTCCCTTGGTTGTTAAAAAATCATGCATTCTCTAACGTTTTTATTTTTTGGTCTATCAGCGTGGGTTACACCATGGTTGATAACTATGTCAAACTATGAGTAATCCCAGGTTAAGTTGAACATTTCTACCTACAATTTGAAATCAAATTTAAGAACTTACAGAGAATTATGTCTCCATTGTATTGAATCTTCAACATGCTTTTGATTTATTATCATCACTTTTTCAATCTCCATGAGATATGCATTTCAAACATTTTGTAGTTTGCTTTTGCCAAATATACCAAAACATAAGAATTTTGGTGATTAAATCATTAAGCTATAAGATGATGTGATGGTTTACCTAAGCCCAATCAAAATGCTCAATAAGGGGAATGAATTTGCACCATATAATAACAGAGAGGAGCGACCAATTAGTTGCTGCTCAAGGGGTAAGCAAGCTTGAGTTAAGCAATTGACAGGCCTCTGCAATGGCAGAGGTTCGAGCCCGCAGAAAGGCCGCTAGGAGGGGCAGCCTCAGTACCCCAAATGTGTAGTCTCAAAACCCTCCTCCTTCCAAAAAAAAAAAAAAAGAGAGAGAGAGGAGCACCTATAGATTGGTTTGCACTTTGCAGGATGAAAGATATGCTTTTTAATTCCCAAATAATCTATTGTTGTATCTGAAACTAAAGCAGATGATATAATCCACTTTCAAACCAAAATGCTTGGAATAGTTTGGTATGGTTGGAAGGAGTCAGGACTGTCCACTGTATGCAGCATATGATAGCTTCTGTTGGCATGGTTGTGAATTTTTGTTGGAACATTTATAACTGAGAATTAATGACATATAAACATGTTTTGTTTCATTGATTCTTAGAAAACCAGTTCAGTGTATGATAGCTTCCTTTATCATTAAACTTTTTGAGATCATATTTTACACTGAGCGTCAAAATATATTTGATACAGGTTGAAATGTATCCGGTAGTTTTATGTTTAATGCACATTTTAACAGTCTTATTTTGTGTGTCCTTTGCTGAATACTACAGAGCTATGACCAAGGACTTGTCTTAAAGAGCATTTTTTTTACCATTCTTAGGTAAGCGATGGTTGCTGAGTCATGGTTTCGAAGTCTATGGAAGACTCCACGGAAGGATGATACTAATTCTGAGAAGGTGGTGATTGGAGTGTTAACATTTGAAATTGCGAGATTGATGTCCAAGCTTGTTAATTTATGGCAGTCTTTGAGTGATAAGCAGGTTTCTAGGTTGAGAGAGGAGATCAGAAATTCCGTGGGTATCAGAAAACTTGTTTCAGAGGATGAGATTATCATTGTACGTTTAATCAGTTCAGAGATGCTTGAGAATATGGCACATGTGGCTGAATCTGTGGCTAGGATTGGGAAGAAATGCAGTGATCCAAGTTTGAAGGGTTTTGAAAATGCAATTGATGAGTTTATCACTCTCGGTATTGATCCATATGGGTGGGGATTCACTTTCAAGAAAATGGAAAAAAAGGTTAAAAGGATGGAAAAGTTTATATCAGCAAATGCAAGTTTGCATCAAGAGATGGAAGTTCTTGCTGATCTGGAGCAAACTGTTAGAAGAATGAAGGCTTATTGCGATTCAGATGGGGAAAATTTAATTGATTATCAGAAGAAGGTTGCATGGAAGAGGCTGGAGGTGAAGAACTTAAAGGATAATTCTCTATGGAACAGAACATATGATTATGCTGTAAATCTTTTAGCAAGATCTTTATTTACAATATTCAGTAGGATCAACAATGTATTTGGAATTCAAGAGATAATAGATGTTGGTAAAACCAAGAGTCCAAATGTTTCGAATTCTGATTACATTCATGGCAGTCAATCGGTTTCTGAATTATTGCAATCTTCAGTTCACCCATCTGAGAATAATGTTGCCAGATTTGCTTCAGGACCCCTTGGTGCTGTTACCGCTAAATCAGGTCCCAATGTCAGGACAAATAAAGCTAGCATTTTTCGTTCAGGTGGTGACTCATCCACAAAGCAAGGCCTAACTTCAGGAAAGAATAGAAGCCTCAATTTTTTCTCAGGTCCCCTTGGAAGAAATTTGAAAAAATCAGTCCCAGATAATGGAACAAATAAAAACAGCAAGTTTTGGAAGTTTCATGGCCACTCAACCAACGTAAGTGGAAAGGAAATTCACTCAAGACACAATCGACTGACTCAAGTAGGACCTTTCAAAGGAAGTATGGCTGTGGATAGTTCCTCTGTCACTGACTGCCACTCAATCCCAATAAGCGGTCATCTAAGAACTCAGAATCACAAAGATGATAATTCAAACATTCTTACTACTGGAAAAGTAGTTCACTGTACTCAATCAATATTCAGTTCTCTGTGCAAATTAAAGCCTCCATCTGAATCCCTTGGTGCGGCTTCTTTAGCACTGCACTATGCAAATGTTATCATCGTGATTGAGAGGCTAGCAGCTTCTCCATACTTGATTGGTCTTGATGCAAGAGATGATCTGTACAACATGTTACCCGGACGTGTAAGAACTGCTCTTAGGACCAAGCTAAAGCCATATTCCAAGGGCATGGCTTCAGCAGTCTATGATGCAAGTCTAGCAGAAGAATGGACTGAAGCAATGACGAGTATACTAGAGTGGTTAGCCCCACTTGCTCATAACATGCTAAGATGGCAATCTGAGAGAAGTTATGAGCAGCAGAGCTTTGTTTCCCGGACAAATGTGCTGCTAGTACAAACCCTTTACTTTGCAAAGCAAGAAGAAACAGAAGCAATAATCACTGAGCTTCTTGTTGGTCTGAATTATGTCTGGAGATATGTTAGGGAGCTTAATACAAAAGCTCTGATAGAGTGTGGCAGTAGTGGAGTACATAATAGATATCCTCAACTGAATGGATAAGCAATTTTCATGAAGCTCATGGCTGTTTCCAATAGAAGTCCTGTTCCTGACCATTGATTGGGATGAAGTTTTTCAGAGGCACCATCTTCTGGCTGCGTAAATCTCAACAAATGCGAATCAAGCGGTAGATGGAGTATGAGAGAAATACTCAACTGTCAGAGAAATTTTAGTGTCAGAATGTATTCTTGGTGAGGATTGCTATTTTTTATATAAACTTTTAGCATTGTTTTTCTTTGATGAGTTCCTAGCTGATTTAACTTGGATCGCTGATCTCATCTTTGAAAAGTTGTCCTATGGGTTCCTATCTGCTATTTAGAATGTGTATATTTATGAGCATGATATATTAAATTGTATAGCTTTATCACACTGGTTATTTCTATGTGATATCTTTGAATGGTTGGACATGAAAATTTTGAAAGGCTAGTTTACAAATTTCATTTTAAAGCGTTGTTTGTGTCATTTTGTGGATGGATGTCTCATGGCTTTGTCGAGAGTCGAAACAGATGGAGCTCTTATAGTCTTATGGGAAGTTAAAACCTTACATGAAAAATTGTTCAATACGTGCACCAAATTAAAATGAAAAGCTTATTTCTTAGTGGTTAATTATGTTTGTTTTTCAACTAGGTTGTGTTATTGTTTGGTTGAAAGAAGTTACAACAACTAAAATGAAAAACTTTAGGAGGAGCCAAACTCTGGAGTCATTTTCCCCCAACAGCCATAATGAATGTAGAGCCATACATATAGGGTGAGAAACATGAATGTGTGACAACTCACAGTTTGTGACTTGTATAAAATCTGCAACCTCTCTTCGAGAAATAATTAAAATAATTAACTTTGTAGATTTAGGGTCTGCATGACAATCATTCTTGTTTCCTGACATTCATTCTGAAAAGAAACAATTCTTTTCATTTCTATGCCTTGGAATAGTTTACGAGAAAAAAAAAATATATTTGATAACATGTTCAATTTTTATTCTGAGAATGAGAATTGCGTTTGATAACAAATCAAATAATATAATAAAAAATAATTTCTATTAAGCATAATTTTTTTTCGGATCATCACTTTCATTTTCATATGGTGAGGCGGCGGCGGCGGCGTTGTAGTGGTAATGGTGGTGATGGTGGCGGCGGCAGCAGTGGTGGTGGTGGTGGTGGTGGTGGCTGTAGTGACGGCAGTAGCTGTAGCGATGGTGGCGACATAGTGGTGATTGTAGTGGTGGTGATGTTAGTGATTACGATGATAGTGATGATGGTTGGTGGCGGCGTGGTGGTGGTTGGTGACAAATGGCGTGGTGATGACGGGTTGTCCTTTGTAGGAGGGGTGGATTTGAGATGAGAAGAGGGCAAGACTAACATGTATTTTGGTAACATGAGGAAAGATTCCACCAAATATGCCAAACTTTATTGATCATTCTCTTTTGACATTGATTATATGTAAATTGGTAACATGTATTTTAAAATTTATGTAAAATTTATAAAATATAAATTAAAAGGAAAAATAATTTTTTTAAGGTATTTGTTAAAAAATATAAAAGTTGCGTAATTAAAAATTCAACTTGCATAATCAGTAGAAATTTGATTTAAACGTGTTTTGCAACGTCCTAATTATACGTCTGCCATAAATTATATCAAATCTTGTTTGACGAAATTTGAGCATTGACCAAAACTTATTAAAGATGTAAAAATCTTGTTTAATGAATAATTAATTAAGAAGGAAAATAAATTTTTCCTTGCTTATGGAAAAGAATCATTTGAACTTCGGATTTCCATGGGATCACCTTTGTGTTTAGTTTACACTTCCTCTTTCTTGTGTTACACAGTTTCCATCTCAATTTTAAACATGAGTTTCTTATTTAGAAGACAAGTATATAGTAATTCATTATTATACGTCAAGAACGTTTAAAATTCATTAACAATTTACTTTGTATTAGCAAGAAATAAGTAGCAAGAGATAATTAATAATAACGATAATATTTTCTTTATGTTAAAGGACATGAAAATCATATAATAATAAGAAAGTGTTACGATGTTGTGTTCGAGTATAGACATTAATTCGCTAAAGAGAAATAGAAAATGATGGGTTGGTTATTGATAAGACTGATATAATTAATACAAGACTGACGTGGCAGACGTTTCGTATATATTATTAACATCGCTTATTGGCACGCACGAGCACGAGACTCACTAACACACGCTTGAACGTTCGGTAACAACAGACAACTCTCTCTCTCTCTCTCCTCTCTCTCTCTCTATTACAACACTCGCCGGAGTCGGAGCTTCTCCACCGTCGGTGGTATGGATGTGCCGAAACGCCGCTCCAATCGAACGACGTCTCTGAGGGACGCTTCCGAGTCCTCCAAGATGGAGGGCACTGGTAGCTGGGACGCCCTAGAGTGGACCAAGATTGAGGTTCCTATTCCTTCCCCTTTTCAATTCAATCTCTTTCTTCTTCCTTTTAGTTTTCTTTAACCTTCTTGATTTTTCTTTGTTTTGTTTTGTTTTTTTTGTTAATTTTGTTGTTGTTGTAATTTGTTTGCAGTCATTTTCGCGCCACGTATCGCCTGCGAATCTGGATTTCTTGCTTGAGGCAGAGCGAGTTTTGGCCGAAGTATGCAATATTACCTCCAATTGTTCTTTTTCTTTTTCTTTTGAAGAATTTTGAAAATTCACCGTTTATGCCTTTTTGTTTTGGTAACCTGGGTTGATTGTTGTGTATTTTTGGATCAGTTATGGCAACCGAATAAATTAGTTTGGTTTTTGTTATGTATGCTGAATCTGCGAAAATGTGTGGAATGTGAGGATAGTGAAAAGAGTGGTTAGGGAGATTTGGGATTTGCCAAACATGCATACTGGTTTGGTGCTAGCTCCATAAGGAATCAGCGCAGAATCTTGTATTGAACTTGATATGTTATTTGCCTAATAAGATAACAAGCTGCATTTCATGAAAACTTGATTAGGGTTAGTAGTTCTGTCGTGTTTGTTACCAGAATGTTTGTGTGGAATAATTTGAATTTCAAATTCTAATCTAATTAATTAGAATGAGTAAATTAGGATCCCACTAATTAGTTTCCTGATTAAGGCCCATTATTATAATTAATTAGTTTCTGTTTCGTCGGTTGGGACTTTATATATCACATTGGGTATAATCAATGAAATACATTTCCCTCAGTATTTTCACAGTTTGAATGCTTACATTGTTTGATCTCCACGTGCTGAGTTTGACATGTGTGACCTGTAACAATCATAACACTGCCTTCAACAGTCTTGCCCACTCTATATGCTCTGTATTCGGTTATGTTATTGCTCTATTTTCATTTTTCAGAAACATAGATTTCCCATAGTCATTTTATTTGACTCAATCATGGCGTATAACTTGTAGTTTTGACATTTTGTTTTGTGGGAGTTATGGTTAAGTTGTTTTGTCAATTCTAAGCTTAAAATTATTACATTGACCATTATACATCATTTATATTATATATTCCAAGCTTTGAGAATCTTGTACTAACTTTTACTACTAATGCAAGACTTAACGTTGTAATTCACATTTATCCTGTTTGAATATATTGTATGAGATTAAGTTTGATGTATGGTACTTTCAGGAACACGGCATTGTTCTTGTTAATACGGATGATGCGGGCATGTTGATGGTAACAAATTTTCGTCTTCTTTTTCTGGTAAGTTCATTTATGTAGTATTTCCAACACCTCTCCTGAATTCTAGATTTTACAATGTACTATGATTTAGGAGAAGTCTTGAATTTGTGATTTGGAAATGCCCACAACTTAGAAAGCTGGCTGAATACCCATAGAAAAGACACTACAATGATGTGATAATTAAGGTTTTTGGTTGAAAAATCATAGCATCCTGCTGTTTCGAGAATTTTTGAATTTTGATTTCGGCTTGAATGATGAGAATTAAGTCTAAATATGCTGGAAAAGAGACGAAATTCTTTGAAAATTCACCTCATCAAAGTGTTTGTTGATTATTCCATTTTCACTAAAACCAACCAAGCTCCAAATACTTATACTGTAGGTATTGTTCATAGCACTTAAATCACCCTCAATCTAACATTAAAACTCCATTCTATTACCTGCAAATTGCCCTTTTACCTTCTACTACATCCCAAAATGCTTCAGTTCACTTGTTTTGTACCTCACATTGACCCTATAAAGCACTCATCTTGACCCACTTTCTCCTTTCCTACATCCCTATAACCACGTTATTTTTCTGTATTTTTTTTTTTAATGTTTGGGGACCCTTGTATCTTTCATTTGGGTTCATCTACCACCGACCCCAATTAATTTGAGATAAAGGTGTTGTTGATGTTGATGTTTGGGGACCCTTTTTAATGTGGAGTGAAAGAGAATTTTATAAGCTGAAATTATGAACTCTAAAGCTAAGAAGTTGAACTCTTTGGCACATAACTTGAAGTCGAAATCTCTATTTTAGTCCCCCCCTAAATGTGTTCATTTTCAATTAGGCCCCTAACAGATCAATTTTTGCAATCTAGTCTCTCTCTAATCAAAATACATCAATTTAGTCTTTTTGCAATCAAAATCTACCTTATATTCACTTTACAGTACTAAAATGATGCAAATTTTTGATCAAATTGCCAAAAAGGAATTGTGAGGAACCAAATTCAGAATGAACACATTAGTGAGGGACTAAACTGCGGTTTTTGTTTGACTTGAATGTTAACTCTGGACTGCACCTAGCGTTTGTGGTATTTTTTTTGGAGATATTCCAATCGGTTCATCGCTTCGCGACTAGTCCGATTTGGGGCAGGTCCCAGAATTAAGGCTTTAAACTCCTTCCAAAGACGGTACTGAGGAGGATTGAATATATGCTCTCACCCTCACCTGCTCAATTCCCTTGTGCCAACTGAGCTACTATCATTTGGTAGTGTTTGTGGTATTGATCATGAGCTTATATGCATAAAATGCTTTTAACTTTTATGAAGCATGGTTTGTGGGGTGTGACGATCTGAACTTTTTATCCATAACTGGTGAGTAGAAAGTGTGAACCACAAGCTACACAAGCCTCCAAAACCTGTAGATAACCATTCCTTAACCACCAACGAAGTATTCAGGCGTATCTACTATACAAGGAAGCTTCACAAAATCTACCGAATTTTGAGAAGGGTTACCCGTGTTGTGTTCATTCCCCAAAATACAGATAAATATGAAATTCCTACAGATACCGCCACAAGGCCTTAGAAATACTTTAATACCACATATCTAAGACTTTCAAATTTTATAAATAACCAAATTCAATGTGAATCCCAACAATCAGCAAGTTATAAACCAAAAAACATGTCCTTTTTGGATTCTGCTTACAGAAGGATGCTTATTGCTTAAGAAGTTTGGCTCCTCAGCTCTGTTGCTGTATCTGTGTGTCTTCTTCTGCTGTTTCTCTCTGAAATTTCTTTGAAATTTTTCACCTTCCTATTGATCTGTAAATATTTTGTACTGACTTTGTTCTTTCTGATTTTTTTTTAGAGTGAGGGAACTAGAAAAGTTATTGCCCTTGGAACAATACCACTAGCAACCATTGAGAAGTTTAACAAAATTGTAAGTCCTTACAAATATTTCTACAAAGTACTCTCTTTTGTGTGTATGTTCTTTGTAATTTAATTTGGACACGCTGTGTTAGATTGACCTGAACCCTCTTGTATTGTCCATCTCACATATATGTTGACAAATAAGTTGGACATTCTATAAACAAGATGATACATGAAATGAAATTCAAGTAATGATTTTAGAGTTACCATGCATATCCCTCTTGTCTGAGTATGCTCATCCTTTTTTTAATCCCACCTATCTCTTTGCTTATTTTTTTATCCCTTCTCTTTTGAACATATATTTTATTTTTATTATTCTACAGTCAGAATTTACTCATTAGTTGTAGAGTGTTTACAGTCTTCAAATCATTACAAATTCTTGTGGTTACTGTCAGTACAACATTGGAGTACTTACAAAGTATGATCCTGGTTTGATTCATTAAGGGGAAAATTGGACTTTGATATTTTAATTGGTTTCTTCTATTAATTTAAAACAAAATTATTTTGATTGGTTCTGAATTTTTTGTTTTGATCTTGACCTTCTGCCCATGTAATGAACTTGTGCTTCTGGTTCATGTGCTCATATCAGCTCAGCCACAAGAATGAATATTTATTTGTATTCTCTTATTTTTATTAATGTTGTAATAATTTTGAACTATATTTATGATCTGGTGTCTTATCAATCAATAAGTGTATTTCTGCATCTTATTTTGGTTCTTACTTTGTTGTGTGCTCTTTTTCATCAATTATTTAGAACCTCATGTATTGCTCTCATTTAAATTTAGACTGCAAAGGTTCAATCGAATGCTCGTCAATTAGACAAGACACCAACACAACGACTGCTCCAGGTGGTTGGTATGCTTTCAATAAGATCCTCTTGATTCATATTTTCTTTTAAATATTAATTGATGAAATTGCTATATAACATCAACATCTTTATCCCAAACTAATTGGGGCCGGTGATAGATGAACTCAAATGAAAAGTGCGAAAAGATTGAGGAAAGAAAAAAAAGATAAAGATAAAATTAAAACAAAAATATAAATAACACTTAAAATAAAAAATAGCAATAAATAATTAAAAAGAAAAATAGAGAGAAAAATACATAAAAAAGAAAGTAAAAATAAAAATAAATAAAAGATTAAAGAAATAAAAGTAAAGAAATTAGAGGAAAAAGATAAATAAATAAAAGAAAAAAATAGAAACGAAAAAAAAGGGAGGTAAAGAAAGAAATAGAGAGAGATAAAGGGAAAAGGTATTAGCATATAAACAACTAAGGCTTTGTATTAGTTTACTGGTTTTACTGTACTGCTGTAGTATTGTCCCTATGGTGTGTCACACACCTGATTATTACTCATTCTGTTAGAGTTTGGTTCTGTTAGAGTTTGTTACAGATTGTTAGGATTGGTTATCTGCTGAGTCAGCAACACCTGATCTATAAATAGATCTCTCCCTGTATCAGTTCATTATTCAATATACATTTTACATCAGAATCATATCAATGACTTCTCTCTCTCTCTCTCTCTCTCTCTCCTTTTCTCTTTTGTATTCATCTCTGTTATGGTATCAGAGCCTTCGATCTGAAGGCCTGATCCATATAGAGCCTATTCATGTCTTCCGCTTCGGATTCACCTTCCTCTAATCGAGAATCCTCACATCACAAATCTTCACATCACGAATCTTCATCTCATCCATCGTCACATGCAAAATCAGCTTCGAAGATGGAGAACAAAGCTCCACAACTGTTCAATCAACAGATAACAGTGAAATTGACGGAAGAGAATTACTTGCTATGGAATCAAATTGTGGATCCAATCATCACGTCACATCAGATGCATCGTTTCTTGGTTAATCCTAAGATACCTCTTCAATTTCTGTCAGAAGATGATGGAATCAGTGATGTCCAGAATCCTGAGTATGTGGAATGGATAACACAAGACTCAATGCTTCTGTCTTGGCTTCTTTCAACCGTTTCAGAATCGATTCTGAACGAGATATTAGGAGTAAAGTTTTCATATGAAGCGTGGGACAAAATACACAAATTGTTCCAAGGAATGATGAAATCAAAAGCAAGATTGCTGAGATCTGAATTACACGCCATCAAAAAAGGATCAAAGACTATGAAGGAGTTCCTTTCTCGAATCAAAGGTATTTGTAATTCTCTCAAGTCAATAGGAAGTCCAGTTAGTAATGAAGAGTGTTCAGATATTATACTTGGAGGATTACCAGCTGAATACATGGCGTTTATTGCGTCTGTTCATGCGCGCGAAAATGCTTACTTCGTTGAAGATTTGAGTATTCAATTGATGACTCATGAACAAATACTAATGAGACAATCAGAGGCGTTGATTTCAGAATCTGCAGCAGTAAATTTGACTCAGCACAATTCAGAAGCTGGAAAACAGAGTAACAATAGCAATGTTGTGAACAGTGACACTCTGTTTGCCCCTGTTTTATGTAACCAGGAACAGAGCACTGGTTTTCACAACTCCAGTCGCTCATATGTGCCAAACAGAGGCAGAGGACGTTATGGAGGACGCAACTACAATAGAGGAAGAGGACGTGGAGCAAGTGGAGGAAGATCTAATGTTTGTTGCCAACTTTGCTATAAGTTTGGACATGATGTTCAAACTTGTTGGCATAGATTTGATGAGCACTTTGTTCCCACTCTTCCACCACCCAACATCACCTCTCATTCTCAATTTTTTCCTCAGATGTTTGCTCAGGTTCAGACAAATCAGATACCTCAACAACGTCATTCCTTCCAGTATGTTCGTCCTCAGAGTGTGCAACCACAAGCTATGATTACTGCTCAACCTGGAATTCTGCCCACACCTGCACCTGCCTTGGAGTGGTATCCTGATTCTGGTGCAACACATCATGTCACCTCCAACCCTCAGAATCTGATGCAGAGTCAGCAATTGAGTGGTGCAGACCAAATACTGATAGGCAATGGCCAAGGTTTGGCTGTCACAGCTATTGGTTCCTCCAATTTTTCTTCTCCCTTTGACACACACACACACACTTGCGTTTTACAAATCTCCTTGTTCCTTCCATTATGAAAAATCTTGTGAGTGTCAGCCAATTTGCCAAAGATAATTCTGTGTACTTTGAATTTCACCCTTCCTTTTGTCTTGTTAAATCACAGGGGACACACAAAGTCTTGCTTGAAGGTATCCTTGACTCTAGTGGTCTTTATAAATTCAACGGCATCAATCTTCATCAAACACCAACTCATGCTCCACAAAGTGTCTCATGTACTCCTTTTCAGCAACCTTCAAGCTTGATATCTCCTGTTTGTAATACTGCTTCTTCACCAGTATCTTCAGTTTGTAATAGTAATAATCCAGTGACTGCTACTCAGTCTTCTGAGCTAGTAACTTCTGTTTACTCAATGTGGCATTGTCGTTTAGGACATCCACATAAAGAAATTCTTAAATCTGTTCTTCAAGCTTGTAATATACTTGTGAATAATAAAGCTGTTGAGATGTTTTGTTCAGATTGTTGCATTGGTAAGGCCCATCGTTTGCCCTCTTCCCCCTCACATACTGTTTACAATACTCCCTTTGAATTGATATACAGTGACCTATGGGGCCCTGCTCCTATAGAATCCATGATGGGATACTTGTACTATATTTCCTTTGTTGATGCAAATACTAGATTTACATGGATTTATCCTTTGAAACAGAAGTCAGATGCACTTCAAACTTTCGAAAATTTTCACTCTCTAGTACAAACACAATTCAATGTCTCTATCAAGTCCATCCAAACCTATTGGGGAGGGGAGTTTCGATCCTTTACCCAGTTTCTTCTTCTTCATGGAATCAACCATAGAATAGCATGCCCTCACACCCATCATCAGAATGGAGTGGTAGAGAGAAAGCATAGGCATATTGTTGAAACTGGTCTCACTATGCTCTCTTCTGCCTCTCTACCAATGAAGTATTGGGATTATGCTTTTATTTCTGCTGTATATCTTATTAATAGGTTACCTAAAGCAGTACTGGATTTCCAAACTCCCTATACAAAGTTGTTTCATGTTATACCTGATTACAAATTTCTCAAAATTTTTGGTTGTCCTTGCTTTCCCTTTCTCAGACCATACAATAAGCACAAGCTGGAATTTAGATCTCAAGAGTGTATATTTCTTGGCTATGCTCCCAATCATAAGGGTTACTTGTGTCAAAATCCAGATGGCCGTGTCTTTATTTCAAGGAATGTTTTATTTAATGAACATAGGTTTCCATTTCCTCTATGGAATATTAAGCCTGGCTTCCCTAATGCATCTACCGTTCCTGCTTCTATTCCTCTTACTGTTCTTCCCAATTTTAATGTTCACCAACCATTCACCTTTTTTCCTACTAATGCAACACAATCTGATCACAACACTCATTCTGTTCACAGTCTTGATGAACCAGCTATTGACTCTCCTACTCCTCCACCTGCTTTGTCACAATCTCCAGTTCTGTCATCTTCTGTACCAATTCTGTCCCCTACTTCTGTCTCACCTCCTCAAGATAACTCCTCCAATTCTGGTCAGTCTTGTTCCCCAGTACTCTTGTCACCACTTTCTTCCTCCTCACCTTCCTCCTCTTCTGAATATCAGCCATCACAAACAGTGAGTCCTTCCTCTTCCCCTTACTCTATCACTACAAGGTCCAAGAGCCTAGCCAGATCTCTTGCTCTCCTCACTCATATGGAACCTGTAACTGTTAAACAAGCCTTGGCCAGCCAACAATGGCTGGATGCTATGAAGGCAGAATATAAAGCTTTACAATCTAATCATACTTGGACTCTTGTTTCTCTTCCTTCTGACAGGAAGGCTATAGGCTGCAAATGGGTGTTTAAAATCAAGGAGAATGCAGATGGGACCGTCATTAAGTATAAAGCTCGCCTAGTTGCTAAGGGGTTTCATCAACAAGAAGGTTTTGATTACTCAGAAACCTTTTCTCCTGTTGTCAGGCCAGTAACAGTAAGAATTATGCTCACTCTGGCTCTCACTTTTGGCTGGACATTAAGGCAATTAGATGTGAATAATTCCTTTCTCAATGGAGACCTCACTGAAGATGTTTACATGATACAGCCACCAGGTTTTGAGGTTAATAATAAAACTCTGGTTTGTAAGCTCAATAAGGCCTTGTATGGCCTTAAACAAGCTCCTAGAGCTTGGTTTGATAAGCTCAAGAAACATTCTACTGGTGCTATTTCTCTTTCTCAATCTAAATACATCAGAGATCTTTTGGCTCGGGCTAATATGTCAGATGCAAAAAGCATTGCTTCTCCTATGGCTGCTAGTTGCAAATTGACAAGGCATGGCTCCAATTACTTTGATAATCCTCATCACTATCGCTCTATTGTTGGTGCATTGCAGTATGCTACTATAACAAGACCTGAGATCAGTTTTGCTGTCAATAAAGTGTGCCAGTTCATGGCAGAACCTTTAGTTGATCACTGGCTTGCTGTCAAACGTATACTCAGATACCTTAAAGGGACTGTCTCTTATGGTCTCTTGCTTCAGCCAGCCTCTGCACATTCCATTTTGCCTCTCACAGCCTTTTGTGACGCTGACTGGGCTGGTGACCCTGATGACCGCAGGTCTACATCAGGTGCATGCATCTTCCTTGGTCCTAACTTGGTCTCTTGGTGGTCTAAGAAACAATCCTTGGTGGCCAGGTCTAGTACCGAGGCAGAATACAGAAGTTTGGCCATTGCTTCATCTGAAATTTTGTGGATTCAGTCGCTTCTTCGTGAGCTTCATGTTCCCTTGGCCACTCCACAAGTCTATTGTGATAATCTCAGCACTGTTGCACTATCCCATAACCCGGTTTTACATGCCAGAACCAAGCACATGGAGTTGGACATTTTCTTTGTTCGTGAACGAGTCTTATCTAAGGATCTTATTGTTTCTCACATTCCAGCCACTGATCAGTTAGCTGTTACTCTCACCAAGCCTCTTTTTGCTCCCAAGTCTGCTGACTTAAGATCCAAACTCAGAGTTCTGGATGTTTTTCAACTCCATCACTCCTGAGTTTGAGGGGGCATATTAGCTTATAAACAACTAAGGCTTTGTATTAGTTTACTGGTTTTACTGTACTGCTGTAGTATTGTCCCTATGGTGTGTCACACACCTGATTATTACTCATTCTGTTAGAGTCTGGTTCTGTTAGAGTTTGTTACAGATTGTTAGGATTGGTTATCTGCTGAGTCAGCAACACCTGATCTATAAATAGATCTCTCCCTGTATCAGTTCATTATTCAATATACATTTTACATCAGAATCATATCAATGACTTCTCTCTCTCTCTCTCTCTCTCCTTTTCTCTTATGTATTCATCTCTGTTAAAAGGACTATAAGATGGACTGTTTGGAACATAGGAATAAAAACGGGTCTAACTCCACAATGCTAATAGCTTTCCTCCAATCCGTCCTAAGACACAATCTACCAATCTATATCTCACTCCATCAAGTCTTGTTTTACTACTTCCCCTAAATAAGTTTTAGCCGACCTCTTCCTCTTTGTGTGAAGTTCTTGATAACAAACTTTTGTTTTTACGGAAGCATCCAGTTGTCTTCGCATTATGTTCCTAAACCTCCTTAATCAATGTTATTTCATCTTACCTTTCATCCACCCTGCTCTGATTCTATAATTTACATCCTCATCAATCTTTTCACCCTTTTCCTAAGTTGATCTCAAATATCTGAAAGTATCATTCTAGGGTACCTCTTATCCAAGCGAATTCACAAAATCTGGATCTCCATCTCTTGATGAAGTAATCTCTTACTTCATATGCTCAGTCTTGCTTTGTCTTTGTGTAAATCCTTTAGACTCTAACACGTTTTTCCACAATTCTAGTTTTCTGTTAACACCAGCTTTGGTCTCATTAATAAGCACAATGTCATATGCAAATAGTATAACCATGACACTTCACTTTGAATATCTTTTGTTAGTTCATCCATAACTGGAGTAAAAAGATAATGACTCAAAGCTAACCTTTGGTTTACACTTACTATGATAGGAAAATAATTTGATGTTTCATAACAAACCTTCACATATGTAGTAGCTTCATTATACATATTTTTAATTGCCTCTACATACTTTTATGATTCTTTTTTCTTCTTAAGTATCCACTATAGCATTTTTCTTGGAACATTATCATAAACCTTCTCAAGATCTATAAGCACCATATTTAAGTACTTTTTCTTTTCTCAATATTTTTCCATTAATAGTCGTATCAAGGAAATAACCTCCATGATATATCTTCCCAGCATAAACGTAGATTGAAATACAGAGATCGTGGTCTCTTTTTTTCAAGCGATGTTCAATAGCTCTCTCCTATTACTTCATAGTATGGCTCATAAGCTTAATGTCTCTATATTTAGAACAGTTATGGATATCTCCCTTGTTTTTTAATTAGGCACAAGCATACTTTTCCTCCATATATCAGTCATCTTATTAATTTGGAGAATCGTATTGAAAAGATTTGTCAACCAACTTATTGCCAGATCCCCTAGGCCTCTCATACTTCTACAAGGACACCACTAGGTCTCACAACTTTACTAGTTTTCATCTTCTTTAATGTCTCCTTAACATCATGTGCTTTGATTCTACGCACAAACCTTATGTTTAAATCATCATAAGTGTCCTCCAAATTCACCTCGCTTTTATCGATATCCTCATTAAAAAGCTTATTAAAATAGTTCATCCACCTTTATTTAGCTTTTGTATCTCTTACCAAAAGTTTTTGATTTTCATATAGATAAATCTAATCCGGGTTAAGTTTTTACTTTTCTTATCCCTTATCTTTGCAAGTTTATATATACCTTTTTCACCACCCTTGCTTCCAAGATTTTTGTACTAATTGGATAAAACCTTTTCTCTTGCCTCTTGCACTGATTTCTTAACATTCTTTTCTTGCTAGTATAAACTTTTGCAAGTTCTCATAATATTTACTTTTCAGAATTCTATCTCCTTTAGCTTTCTCACATTTTCTCCCACTTTCTCACCAAATCTTAATAAATATTAATAAATTTCTTCTTTAATTAAAGAAAATACTTATCTTTGCTCTTATGTGCAGGAAAAGACATGAGAATTATAGTCTTTGGTTTCAGGCCTCGTACAAAACAGGTAATTCTACTATAACAGCAGTCATGACCTTCTTATAAAATCCTTACTCTCAGTTTTTTGCTTTGGTTTATTAAATATGTCACATACTTACTGTGTGGAGATTTAATAATTTTGAATCCTACCTTTATATAAAGGTCAAAATGTCATTGAAATTCTTTTCAACTGAAAGGCTATTTGTGAAAACTCCTAATTTATCAATTTTAATCCGTTTTGTCTTTCCTTTCTTCACCTTAAAAGCATACTTGTGAATAGCGCCGCTTTAGCGGGGTTGCGACGCGGCCGGCCGCCACAGACCGCGGCGCGATGGTCAGATTAAGGGTAGCGGCTATTGCGGCGCTATAGTAGTTTCTGCAAAAAGATGGATTGTCGGGCTTTTTGGGGAAGAAGAAAGGATTTACCCTATAGATGGATTTTTTAGAGACGGTAACTGCAAGTGCTACTCTTGGTTTTCAGATAACACACTGAGAAAGGAGAAGGTCACTTTTGTTTTTTTTAAATCTGAATAGAAAAAGAAATATTAAGTATTTAAAAAAAAATTAAAAACAAATGTTGGACTTCTGAAGATGTGGCCCATGTAGCTTTGGGTTACTTTTGTATTGAAGCTAGCCTAATCAAGGAACAAATAAAATATGTTATCCTCAGTTTCTCTTATTTTAAATTTTAAATTTAAATATTTTGAAATTAATTATGTATGTTTTATGATCCAATTTTTTTTTATTTTAAAATTAATTATCCATACTTTTTATACGTATTAAATAATAATATGCTTTGAAATCATTGCTCATTGAATTATAAACCCACCCCAAATCATGAGTTTACAATAGTTTTATAATGGGTAGATCAAATTATGTTGCACATAGCGTTGTAGTGCTACCCTCTATAGCCCTATAGCATTTTACGCGCTGGTATCTGAGATTAATAAGTATGCTTAAAAGTAAACAAGACACAAATTGACATGAATTTTTCTATCTTATGCGCCGCTTAAAATGAGTCATTGGGTCACATATTGACATCATCATACATGGATTGAATAAGTCCCAAACCCGTGTTTCTATTCAGAAAGTCTTTTAGTGTTAACTTTTTTGTCTTAGTTGTTATATATCTCCTCATAGGCTCCTACTAATTACTTTTTAGAGTCAATGTATTCATTTTGGAATGGCGTCAGCAGTTAAGGTTGGTTTGCCGTTAAGGAATTTCCAAGAGTCGTGCTTTAGAATTTTTTTTTTTTTTTTAAAAGAAAATAAGGAGGAGAATAAGTTTTTTTCACAACCAAGGCAGCGTGCACCACAATAAGGGGATGCTTCCGGAGTAGGGATCTTTGGCAAGAATGAAACCCAAGACCTTTACATCAGTGCAGCTTGAATTTTGATCCTACCAATTGAGCCAGTTCTCATTGGCAGATTTTTTTTTTTTTTAGAGAAAATCAGGAAATTTAGTGATACTTTTTTCATTCGTTTGAATCCTTGTTGTACTGTCTCATTATAATATACAATTAATAAAGGATTTCTGAAGTACTTGGGTAAGCTGCATTTTTTAGTCCTGTAAGCCATTGAGGATGTTGTCGTGAACATTTGAGTGGATGCTGTCATTTTCTTCGAGCATGTTTAGGATCTAATGATGGTTATTAAAATCTTACAGAGACGTGTTATATTTAATGCACTGCTGAAGTGTACAAAGCCAACCAGACTCTGGGATCTTTATGCTTTTACATCTGGACCTTCTAGGTTTAAGAACACTACTCCACTGGTGCGCTTGTTGGATGAGTATTTTCGACTTCTTTGCAAAGGTTCTTATCGTGCATCAATCAATATGATTGAAAGCGGGTCCTTCACCTTGTCAAATGACTTATGGAGAATAAGTAATGTGAATTCCAATTATACAATGTGCCAGAGTTATCCATTTGCTTTGCTTGTTCCAAATATCATCAGGTATTTTATCGAGGGCCAAACTTTCTGCTTTTGCCCCTTGTCCGTAACCAATTGTTTGATTACTTTGTTTTGTCCTGATGCTAGCGATGACGAAGTGCTCCAGGCTTGTAGCTTCCGTGCAAGATGTCGATTGCCTGTAGTTTCATGGTGTCATCCTGGTATGTACAAAATCTTGGTTTCATTTCTTTAAATAGTCGGCACCGTTCTGTGCCTTCTTATTTTGATTTTCTTTCCTTTTTCATTCTTCTTTATTTTATTGAACCTTCTAACTAATGGAAGTGATGAGTTATAGGTACCGGAGCAGTTCTTGCACGTTCTTCCCAACCCTTAGTTGGTCTCATGATGAATATGAGGAGGTAATGCAAACTATTTAATCAAATATACCTTCTTCAAGGCAAAAGGAATAAGTTAATTGTTTTGGAATGATTTAATGAGAACAATATCCTATAATCACTGTCATAAAAATTAAGTAAAAACAGCAGTGTTTAACATGATAATATAGTATTATTCTTGTATCAATTCCTAAGGTTGGAAGTTTTACACTATGTTTTAATTCTTTTTTTTTTTGTTTGTGGGGGGGGGGGGGGGGGTTGGTGTTGAACTCTGTTGACCTAATTTGTTTTCATTTATTTTTTTTTTGTCCTTAATCTTTTCTTTGTATAAATTCTTCTTTTACGAGAAATGAACTGGCAAAACAGTGACAAGCTTCCATGTATTTTCCTGCAGCAACATGGATGAAAAACTCGTGGCTGCACTTTGCAGCAAACTTGATGATGGCTCAAGGAGGTAAGATTTGTATGTTATATTCTTGGATTGTGAACAATGTTTCTCTGCTACATAAAATTTGACTTATAAAGGAAACAAATAAATATAGATATCTTTCATATTTAGAACACACCCCCTAAGCTGAGGAATGTATATTTATCGTTCCCAGCTTGCTAGTAAGTTCTTGAAATTTATGAGTGATTAGTCCCTTGGTCAAAAGATCAGTTAGTTGCCAACCAAACGGAATATATGGAGTTGTGATCAATACACTATCTAAATTCTCTTTAATGAACGGGCAATCGATCTCAATATGTTTCGTTCGGTCTATAGCGATGACTAACTTATTATCACAAAGTAGCTTTATAGGTTTTTCACATTTCACTTTGAGATCGTCTGGAACAATTTTTAGCCATAGCAGTTCACAAATACCTTGGGCTGTGGTTTGAAATTATGTCTCTGCACTTGACCTAGCAATCACATTTTGCTTTTTAATTCTTCATGTTACTAGGTTTCCACAAAGAAATATACAATAGCTCGAGGTAGACCGTTGACCAGTCACACACCAAGCATAATCGGTATAAGTATAGTCCTTTGCTTTGTGTGGCCTTAAGATATTGGAAAATTCTCTCTATTGCATGCAAGTGTTTTTCCCTTAGGTCGTGCCAATGCTAAATGCATAAGTTAGATTAGGTCTAGTATGAGCCAAATATATCAATTTTTCTACCAGCGGTCGATATTGCCCTTTATCAGTTAGAAGGCTCTCCTCTTTGTTTCCTAGTGTGTGATTTTGCTCAATTAAAGTACTAGAATGTTTACACCTAAGTTTGTGATTCCCAGTTTGTGATCCTGATCAAGAACATACTTTCGCTGACAGTTGAAGATTCTTTGCTTTGAATGGTCAACCTCTATTGCAAGAAAATATGTCAATTTTTCAAGATCTTTAACTAAAATTCAACGGTTAGTATTTCTTGAAGAGCTCGTTCCTCAATTGTATTATCCCTTTTTATAATAATGTCATCAACATAGACTAGGAGAATCTTACCTCCTTGGGAGTGTTTAAAGAAGAGTGTGTGGTCTCCTTGACTTTGCTAGTATCCTAATGATAACATGACCTTGGTAAATCTTCCAAACCAAGCACGTGAGGATTGCTTCACCCTATATAGGGCCTTCTTTATCTTACACATTTTATTATCTCCATTTGTGAAGCCAAATCCCGGTGGAATCTTCATGTAAACATCCTTTTTTAAATCGTCATTGAAAAAGGTATTTTTTACATCAAATTTGTTAAAGTACCAATCCAAGTGAGCGGCCAAGGACAATTGGACTCGTGTTCATTTTTACTAGCGGAGCAAATGTTTCTTCATAATTAATGGCATAGGTCTTTGTATAATCCTTGACTACTAATCGAGCCTTATACTTGTCAAGATTACCATTTGTATTGTATTTCAAAGTATACTTGCACCCAATGACTTTCTTTTCCTTTGGCCTATCAACAACTTTCCATATTTTATTTTTCTTTAAAGCATTTATCTCATCGTGCAATTCTTATTTTTTAATGCTTCGTGCGGGATTGAAATGATGTTGAGTGCTGAAATAAAACTTCTACGTTGCACAAAAAAGTCCTTAGAGAGACAAAACAAGAGATAAGGTGTTGGGTACAAAAATTTTCCCCTTTTTCAAAGCAATGGGTAAGTCATTAGCATTTATAATTAGGCTCTGGATCATAAGTAGTGTATTCAATACTTACCTGTGATTCAGACAATTGTAGTTGCCGGTGAGGTGGTGTGCTTTGTTTCTTCCTTTGATACAATTCAGATGTCCCAACCTTATTTACTTTATGTGGGTTGATAGGTAGCAATATCATATGAAGTGTCAGACAAACTATCAGCCTCATCAACTAAATCTTCGTGTTCATTATCATGTAATGTATCTACTAGGGCAGGAGAGTTAGAATCATGAGGTTTAGGTAACGGAAAGGAAGAAGACTCAGACTCAAAAAAATCGGACAAAGCTTCTATACCTTTTTCTCCAAAAGGTGAGGACGATGGAAAAAAGGTTCGTATTCATGAAGAGTGACATCCATTGAGACAAAGAAATTACGACTGAGAGGATGATAGCATTTGTATCCCTTTTTATTAGGAGCACAACCAAGGAAGACATACTAAAGGGCACAAGGTTCCAATTTACTTCGGTGTTGTTTGTGCACATGGATGAAGGCACCACACCCAAACACATTTGAGGCTGAAGACTCTGCATAATTAGAACAGATGGAAATAATAAGGTCATGCAATGAATAAGATTGATATGACCTAGGACTCGAGAAGGTAAATGGTTGATCAAATAGGCTGCAGTTAACATAGTTTCTTCCCAATAAGAGCTGGGTATAGATGTTTGAACAAATAATGCTCTAGTTAGTACAAGTAAATAACTATTCTTTCTTTCAGTAATCACATTCTGCTGAGAGGTATCCACACATGCGAGTTCAGTAATCACATTCTCCCCAATAAGATATGGGTATAGATGTTTGAACAAATAATGCTGTAGTGAGTACAAGTGGATAACGATTATTTCTTTCAGTAATCACATTCTGTTGAGAGGTATCCACACATGTGAGTTAATGGACCATACCCTTATCTTTAATGAATTGGGAAAAGCGCTAGTTGACATACTTATTACCATTATCTGATCTCAAACGTTTGATATTCTTACCAAATTGTCTCAATCATATGATAAAATTAGATGAACAACACTGGTAGTTTTTCCTTGTCTTTTATCATGAATATCTAAGTTATATGAGTATAGTCGTCAATAAAAGAAATAAACCACTTAGCTCCATACACATTAAGGACCTTAGAAGGGTCGCAAACATTAGAATGAATAATAGCAAAAGGGTCAACACTTTTTTTTGCTCTAGGAGGAAAAGATACACGACGTTTTGTATGCTCACAAACATCAAAATGAAATCACTCAACAAACTGAGATAGAACAAAGATGGAAACATAGACTTAAGCAAACTGAATGGAAGATGCCCTAAGCACTTGTGATGAAGCCAAATCAGAGAATCTGGAGTAGGCTGGCTAGTTATCAATAACAGGTTGGAAGATGCCCATTGCTTGAATTGTAGGGATCCACGTATGCCCAAAACACTATAACTTCCACTGGGATTCCATTGCTCTTTGGAGATTGTCCTTGGAGGAGCCAATGTTGTCTCCTCATATGAAGTAGATTTTTCAGGCTTAGCATCCATTGGCTGATCCCACAGTGGTTCCTTTTGAAGTGTTTTAACTATAAAACAGCCTTTTTGGAATGTTGTGTTTCTAATTGATTCCATTCTATCCATCCTTATTGTCAATGCGTACTCATTAGAAAGCCTTACATAATGGGTGGAAACTCATCCCGCTTAGGCATATCGCTCTTACCAACATGGTGCTCCACTCTTAGAACTAATCCATACTTCTGTCTTGAACCTACATACCCTGAATCAAGTGATAGCAATTGTGAGAAAGGAGAAAAAGCAAAAACAAAAATTGCAGAACCAACATCAATCTGCATCTTGTGAACTAGCATAATCTGTCCATTGGAGCACTTGTTTAATTCATAATCGAAAATCATTGAAATCCAAGCAATCACATTTCTCCGAGGCATTTTATTGAACACCTTCTCAATTGCAATCATACTTCTCTTGAGGCATTTTATCAAACACCTTCTCAGCTATATATTCTTCAGATTTTGATCGGGCATTTATAACTTTTACCTCTTGTTTTTCTTCCCATTGTGTGGTTTCTATGAAAGAAAAAACAAAATCTCCAATCAATAGAACCCGTGAGTTTGCCTCTGCATACACCTGTGAAGAAAAGCATTCAATCATTTGATTGCTAAACACAAACGTTTCCTTCACGAAGCATAGATGGGAGAATCTGTTTGGACCATGCGTCAACAAGCCCACTTAAGATTTCATGGGTTTGGGCTTGGACCCATTTAACAACAATTTGCAGCCAATTCAATAGTTCAGCACCTAGACTTATGGGCTTGTTAGCCCATTTGTTGCATAAAAAAGTAATAGGAGTACCATTGTCATTGGCATGGGCCAGCTGTAAATTATCATTAGTTTGGGCTAGGTTTGCAATTTGACCCATTTCCAAATTTAACCTAGCTTGTTTCTCTTCTTCTCTATGCGTATGCACCCCATTCTGCTTGTAGTGGTGCTACAACAACTCTCTCTCTCTCTCTCACGATGGTGCTTATCCGGTGGCTTTGGCAAAGGGGGTGGGTCAACTACAACCGCAGGAGGCGGTGGCCATGCTGGTACCCACGCTATCTTAACACACTCATGGTCGTCTCCTTGTCGGAAAGAGCTTCTTTTTTCTTTTTCCTTCTTGTCACCTTTAATTGAAACAATACCGGTCTCCTCGTTTTTTTTTCTAATCTGCCCTTCCATTGACAATTGTTTTTCCCTTTGTTTTCATCACCAATTTTGGCTTGGCTTGGCTGGAATCCATCAACACCTTGTTTGTGATTTGAACCATTGCTTGAAAGCTCGCCGAAATTTCGTCTTTATGGTTCTCCTCCATTATTTTCTCCTTGCATGGTCTCAGTCTCCTCCCTAACAGATCTTTGTTGCAACTTGGATTCTAGCCTTTGAGGTTCATCATCTACCAAGCAAACCTCCAGTTGAAATTCCTTGAAGAAAGCTTTTAGAAATGTACTAACTTTTGGATTAAACTAGTATCGGTACCAGATTCGAGCTTGACCCGTGAACGCCTTCCTAGCTTCCGATGGCTTTTTAGTATCCGGAATTCCCTTTGCCTCGAAGTACTTCTCAACTTGAATCAACCATCCCCAAGCTTCTTCCCCAGAAAATATAGAATCTTCATTTTATAAAATTGATTTCTCATTTTTTTTAATTGGTGTGGTTCAAAGCCCCTTTGGATCGGAGAGCTCTGATACCAATTGATGGGAAAGAAAGGAAGAAATAACGATGAATAAGACTGATTCTACACTATTCTAATCTGAAATTATAGGGATGGAAAAATTGTTTGTAAAGGTCCCAATCTGAAATTAAAGGTCCTAGGAAAAATTACAATTTAAGTATCCCATGTGTTACTACTACCCAGAGCAATTGGAGGGACCCTGGTTCTCTCCCAATTCCAATACCAAAAGGTCCCTATATTCCCCAGATACCTTTACAATAATTTCCCTCCCTCTATATAGTCACTTCAACCTCACCTCACAAAACACACGCCTAACAGAAAAAGGGAATATTATTACCATAACTAACCATTTGTTGACTCAGCTTTTATTATTAGGGATCGTAACACGGGTCCTTGGTATCTTCGGCACTATACTCTGGAATGAGATAGCATGACCTACCTTGCTCCTTAACAACTCCAATAATCTTCCCTGTGGTGATATCCTGAAAAACACAATGAGTAAAGAAAAAAGTTACAATATAATTGAATACTCTAGTAATATTATTGGTGGAGAGTTCAGGAACATGAAGTGCATTTTTGAGATACGAGGAGTGTTGAATTTGAATGTTACTAGAACCCGCAACAGATGTGTGTGATCCACTAGCGACATCTATAGTACGGATACCAGCAACAGGATTATAAGAGAGAAACAAGTCAGTGCAACAAGTCATATTATTATTAGTAGCACCGATATCTGCAATCCATGAGTTTCCAAACAGCGATGACAATGACAAATGTAAGCAAAGGTGGCCTGGATGAGCCAAAAAGATTTGAACTTTATGGCGAGATCAACGATCCACAAACCGAACAATGTGTAATCAACAAGATAAGAACGAGGACAACAAGGCAATCCAAGAAAGTGTTGGTTTGAGACAAACAGACCTGCACACACTGTCACGTGTCAGCAGAAGGGCAGCACTTGCACTTCACGTGCAGAAGATCTTGGCCATGCGTGAGAGTGTGTGGCGTTGCTGGAGGTGATGCGGCTTCTGGGGAGTTGCTTATCTGGCATGCATGGTTGTTGGAGCTATAATCGACTTGAAGGTATCCACCCGGAGACCGCTGGGAAAGGAATCGGTAGCGGAGGCATGACAATTATGCTAGAGGATCCGCACTAAAGGCAATGGCTTGGACACGTGAAAGGAATAAAAGAGAGTATGCATTTAAGGTGGCAATAGAGCAATATGCTCTCAAATCGAGGGCTTTGACACTGAGTTGAAAGGAGAAACAATTTGGAAAATATTATTGCTTAAGGTATCATGTACAAAGGGTTACAATATTTATAAAGAAACTAAGGGGCCTAAAGGAATAAACCCAAATCCTAAAAGTAAAGGAAACATAATCTGGCTAATAAAGGAAATAAATAATTGCAGATATCTTCTATATAATGTAAGATTTGAATGTTATAGCATTGTGAACAATGCTGCTCATTGCTACATAAAGCAAGAGCATAAGTTATTTTTGTGATTTACTTACTATCTTAATGAATTTCTACATGAAGTCTACATCCACATTAAATATCAATCATAAGTGAATATTGTCAAGGGCAACCTCTACTAAAAACTAAAGATGCCCAAGGGTAGCTCAATTGGCAATTGAGCTCCTAAGGGTTTGCTTGGGTCATGGGTTCAAACCCTGACACAAGCAAATTCTTGAAAAATCTTTGGAGGTCAGAGGATGTACCTCTTTCCTTGATGGGAGAATAGTCTCATCCTTCCTCCGGTGGCATAGCTCAATGGACCCGCTGTTCCAATGAGGAGCTAGCTTTTGGGGTCGTACTCCGAGGACAAGGTGGCTGAAGGAGGTTGCATGGGGATACCTCTAGGTTATACTATAAAAAAAAAAAAAAAAACTAACGATCCCTAACAAAAGAGCCATTAGGGCTTGACGTCTGGACAATATATATGCCCACTTTACCTTGTGCTGAAAATCAACTTAATTATGAAAAACGGGGCGATAAGGATTGAAATTTTGACCGCTTGGTCATAAAGGCTTAGATATTATTTTGAGGACTAGCTCTCCTAAAAGGTTAAGTTAGGTAGGTGAAGGCTTGAGTTCTTATATTTTCTTAAGTAATTATATCACCATTTAAATATTTAACTGAATGTGTTGAGATATATAGTCCCATATTGGTTGTATGTGCAACTAATGTGGAGTTTATAAGGCTTTGGGCACTCCCACCCTTTGAGCTAGCTTTTGGGGTGGTGTATCCCAAGGTTCTTTACATGGTATCAGAGCCTCGCCGCTCCCCACTCTCTCTTGTGGCATTTCTTAGCACAGGTAGGCTGGGCCTGTTGCATTGTCCACTCTTCAAGCCCAATGGGCTCTTGTGTGAGGGGGCGTGTTGAGATATATAGTCCCACATTGGTTGTATGTGCAACTAATGTGGAGTTTATAAGGCTTTGGGCACTTCCACCCTTTGAGCTAGCTTTTGGGGTGGTGTATCCCAAGGTTCTTTACAGAATGTATACTAGTTGCTATCCTTATGCATTCTGTTTTTTGTTTTTATTATTATTATTTTTTGAAAAGGGGGGGGGGGGGGCACTGGGGTAATTTGCTGCCATCCTCCATGCATATTTTAATTTTTTTATTTTTTTTTCAAAATTGTATTTCTGTTATAGAAAGCTATATATTGCTGATGCGAGGCCAAGGAAAAATGCATTAGCTAATGGAGCCATGGGAGGTGGTTCGGAATCATCATCGAACTATTTTCAATCTGAGGTCTGAAATAGTCTTGAAATGTCTACTTATGATTTTGTTTTTTAATATAAATTTGTTTATATTTTCTAAGCATCTAAGTTTTTGTTTTATATTATCAGATAGTTTTTTTTGGGATTGAAAACATCCATGCAATGAGAGACAGCTTTGCTCTGCTCCGAGAATACATGGACACTCACGGCAGAGCATCATCAGATGGAATGTCATCTTTTTTGGTTAGTATGTCAATGTTAAAAAGTTTCAGCTGTTTGTTTCCTCACTGTATTGAATAGGGTATGAAAATGTCATGCTTTGGTGATGTTGGTAAATTCTGCTCTGATAATTATAGTATTGAAGTAGAACCTTTTACAATTTTGGTTCATTTCAAAAAGTTGAATGTGGACCATGGTGTATGCGTTAAAGTGCTACTATTATTCCCTCTACGAATCATCTAGTAACTTGGTTAAACTGTTAAATGGCTTTGATACAAATGATGATCATGGCATCCTGCTTGGTACTTTTAATTTTATGCAAAAAATGTTACATAAAGACTGTTTAATTTAGCAAGAATTCTAATTAATGGCATTTTAAATACTAGTGTACTTAACTGTTTTATGATTGGCTAGAGTAACTTTGTATGGGATCAATTAACAGATCCTGTGTTTCTAACTTCACGTGAGTTTCTTATGAATTCTATTTAGAGACATGGTGGGTCGACATGGGGTGGTGGCAATTTAAGTAGTATGTCTGCTTCGGTATCAACCCTTGGGGACAGTGGATGGTTACTGCATGTTCAAAGTGTCTTGGCTGGTGCAGCTTGGATTGCTGCTCGAGTTGCGATAGAAAAAGCTTCTGTTCTTGTACATTGCAGGTGCTATGATGGTGTATTTTCTCACTTACCTAAATTTATGAAATCTAAATTGGAGTCTTTCAGTTTTTCCCTTTTATGGATATTCAAGTTGGTTTGGTATCTAGCACCTAACCCTTTTTTTTTCCGGCAGTGATGGATGGGACAGGACAAGCCAGTTGGTTTCACTTGCTAATTTGTTGCTTGATCCATATTATCGGACATTCACAGGGTTTCAGGTAAGGAATTTGTATTACTCAACTGATTGAATGTCTTCTATTTTTAAGATGTGCCATTTTCCCTCCACTTTGCTATTTGATAGCCACAGTTAAACGCATTCTACAATTGTCAAACAAGTCATTTAGCTGTATGTGTCGCATGTTAAAAATGAATCAGTAAACTTGCTCTCTTTTAATTGTACTTCGCAATTTTCTTCCTTATGCAGGCTCTTGTTGAAAAAGATTGGCTAGCATTTGGTCATCCATTTTCCGAACGTCTGGGAACGCCATCTGTCTCTGGAAGTGGCAACATGCCTTTCGAGTTATCTAGGCAGTCTTCGACTGGCAATATCCCATCATCATCCATGCGCCAGTCATCTGGAGCATTCCCATCTCAACCTCCGGCTTCATCTCATGCACATTCTTCAAACAACTGCTCTCCCATTTTTTTGCAGGTTTGTTCTGTTAGAATATTTAGAAAGTATCTTATAATACCATTATTGTACCTTAAAATCTTTTATAGTATCTTAGATGATCTCTTAGTGTTAGAGCAACTACTCGTACAATAGTCTTTGGCCTAGCCTGTTATGACAGTTATGCTGACTCAGCTAGATGGTTCGACAGTTATGCTGTTACACCTATCATCTAGCTATATAAATACATCTTTGTGACAGATTGAATCAGTTTTCACATTCAATATCAGAACACTCTACTTTCTCTCTGGTTTCTCTTCTGTATTTTCTTTCTCTTTCTTTTCTTTCTCTCATTTTCTCTGGTTTCTATCACTTAGGAGTGATATCCATGTTTTATTATATTTCATAATCTGTTTCCATGTTTAATTATGATTAGGAGTATAGTATTAGTATAAATAGGAGTTATTGTTTTGTTTTATAACACATCATCACACAGATTTATATGTTTTTCAAATTGTTGCATTTTGGATGAGATTAAAGAAAGTTTTGAAGAGTTTATAAACCATGGAAACAAAATAGAAAAGAAAGAAGCAGAGTCGTTCTTTTATTTATCTTTTGTCTCCTTTTCCTTATCTGTCCATTCAATGAACTGAACTTTGAACTTTAGACTAGACCATACGTGTAATACTAGCCATATGGAATTGGAGACTTTTGGAGATAGTGCTAAAGAACAAGGCTTCACAAAGCAATATTGGTATTTTTTGTATTGATGATGATACTATTGAGCGGGCAAACTAGTTTAAGATATTATAGTTTATTTTGGCGTTTACTGTTTTTTAAAAATTAAATTTCTCTATAGTGACAATGCTTCAATTTCAAGGATGATTTGTATTATTTGCTTGAGTTAATGGTTGGTTCATAATTTTATTTGGGGACATCAACATTTGTACAATGACTTGAACTTGTGACCTTGTACCCTTATCTGTGTTTTTGTTTGATTTGACATTAATTATTGTTATGAATGCTTAAAAATTAAAATTTCTACCTATTTAGCTTGTCTTTTACTACTTGAAGAATTGCATGTTGAGGTAGACACTGGAGTCTGGATGGTCATTCCATTATTCTAACTATTATCTCATTGCTTTTAGAGTTGATAATAAAAGCAGTTGATAATAGGCTTGGGTTTGAATCTACATTTTGCTTAACACTTATGTTCAGTTTTTGTGTTTAATATGATCTCACTGTCTGGTATATGTTTTCAGTGGGTTGATTGTGTTTCACAATTGTTGCGGATGTATCCTTTTGCTTTTGAGTTTTCTGCGGTATGTATTCTTGAATATTTCTCTGTTTGTTTTGTTGTATGGTTTTCTTCCTCACATCTTTCCTGCTATTTCATGATTCAGGCTTTCCTGGTGGACTTCTTAGATGGCGTGCTTTCTTGTCGTTTTGGAAACTTCTTATGTAATAGGTATTCTTTTTGTTAGCAACTTGTCTTCCCATGGAATGGATGTGGTCATTGGCATGCATTTTAATCTCATTTTGAACATAGTGAAACTCATCAGGGGTGAAATATAACTTGAATATGGAACCGAAGTGGCTGTTGTATAGGTTTCATTTGTGAGATATAATTCAGGATTTAAGAATGATAATATTACAGCAATATCCAAATTTTGTTGATTGGCTGATACAGTTAATAGTTATATAAATTATGTCCCATTTTTTACCCCTAAAAGTATTGTTATTTTCACTGCTATAGCTATGAGCGCCTCCTAGTAATATTGTTTAAATTATTTGTCAGTTAATTTGCAAATTGAATAGCCTTTCTCTACCTATTATATCAAACAGCACCTTGTTAAATGAAAAATAATCAAGTTTCCATGATTTGATGTCATGCTTATTGACTCAGTCAGCATTTTCTGTTGCATCAATTAAATTTTCTTTATTGATGAATCTTAAATATGTTCACTGTCAATAATACCTTTGCTTTTAAGAGCTCTGTAACACTTAACCTTACCTTTTCATTCAAAGGTATATATCTATACCACAAGGGTACTTAACCTGACACAGTAACATAGCCTGCAGTAGTAAGTGATACTGGTCTGATGATATCATTTTAGAACTCGGTATAGATGGTCAGTGTAAGGAACATTCCCCTTCTATATGTATTAAGACTGGAAAGAAGACCAGATAGTTGTAAGAACATCTATTAAATGATACATGTATAAATAAGGATGAAGTATGGGAAATAAGCATCAGGGGAATAACAGCTTTCATGTTGCTGGTTGTTGTAGATATTGTATTTTGTTCTGATTGCATGTTATTTTATTTATTTATTTTTCAGTGAGAAGGAGAGGAAGCAATGCAATGTTTTTGAAGCTTGTGGATGTTTGTGGGTATACTTGGCTGATTTGAGGACATCAGGAGTTTCCCATGTGCATTATAATCCCTTTTTTGATCCGCTGAAGCACAATGGTCCTCTTCTGCCCCCAGCAGCAGCGTTAGCCCCAATTTTATGGCCCCAATTCCACCTTCGTTGGGCATGCCCTGAAGAAGCACAAGCTGGGGAGATTGAAGCGCAATGTAGGAAGATTATTATGAAATTCTCTGAGATGCAGAAGGTAGTTATTTTCCTCAATTTTCTGCTTATGAATATGTCCCATTTAAAAGCCGTTGTCTTTCCCCATTTGTGGGTGGCCATTAAAACATGCCATGTTGGTATGTCCTCGTACTTTTTCTGTAAGCTTATCAATTATAAGAACAATTCTGTATTTCTTTCCACTGTCCCGAATGAATCGAACTGTTTATGTGTCTGGTTTTTCCTTTTAATGTTATTAGTGCTGCGTGGGATGTTTACAGGCTAAAGAAGCTGCAGAACGGAAAGCTAAAGAAATTACAAATGCCATGGAATCATTGAACGCTGAATTACGACATGAGAAGCTGCAAAACAGCTCAGCTATGAACATTGCCAAGAGGACAAGCAAAGAAAATATGGCCATAAAGCGCGCAATTCAGTCAATTGGGTGCAAGGTTCAGTTCTCTGGTAGTGGTGATTGCACGGTTGACATTGAAAGCAACCCAGTGGAAGCACCACAAAACTTTTCGTATTGTTCCCCGATGAAAGAATCAGATTGTACTGTGCGTGATGACAAAAAGGATCTATCTGTTTCAATAACAGTTACAGCAGATGATGATCATGGAAACAATGGCATTCGTCGAGTATGTGAAACTCTCTGCCCTTTTCGCTCTGCAGATGGAGGCTGCAGGTGGCCAAATGGTGGTTGTGCTCAACTAGGTAGCCAATTTGTTGGTCTGAAGGCAAATTTTGATGCATTTGACCAATTATCAATTGACGATAGTTATTTCAAGTCTGAGTAAACAGGGAATTTACTTCCTAAAAGACTCCGATGGTGAACAGTCACATCAACCAATTTTGGTTTTCTTTCTGCGATGAAATAGTCAATTCTTTTGAACACTCACCTTGTTATGAAAAATGAGGAGAAATGATGGAACCTGGCATTTTTACTGGGTCTCGAGAAATTGTACAGGCTATAAGAGTTGGCGGGAGACCATCTTGAATGTTGTGTATTGGGCAGATACGCATCATGGTGGTCCACACTATTATAGACACGTGTATTATTGTAGATTTGGTGATAATTATAATCAGTGTTTACATTGCAATTGTGCTTGAATAGATCAATTTTGTATAGATTATCAGGTTTTTCTAATTGTTACATTCCTTGAGGGATCTATGTACAGCAATAATAATTTGGTGCCATATCTTTATGAGGTATCCCGATCTTGACAGGCATTTGCATTACTCCTTCCATTCCTCCCCTTTACAATGTGATGAAGGCTGACATCTTTATGCATGATGTCAATGGTCAACATAGATACAATGGCATCCTAAATCATAGACCGAGCTAGTGATGAAGGAGCTGAATTTTACATGTCCTGATTTCTTTGTATTTCGTTAAGCGGCATTTGATTATAGAAGTAAAATGCTGACTAAAACAAGGCAGGAAAAGTTTGAACTGGATTTGGATTAAAACTGGCAGGGTTTTAACACTGCAGCATACTATCAAAGGTCGTATTCGACAAAATAATTTAATATGCTAACATGACTTATAATCGGACGAGCTGACTTAATATACCAGAATTGGATGGTAAATGTAAAGAATCTTGGGATACACCATTCCTTTGGTTAGCTCAAGGGGTGAGAGTGCCCAAAGCCTTATAAACTCCACATTAGTTGCACATACAACTAATGTGGGACTAAATATCTCAACACGCTCCCTCACACGAGAGCCCATTGGGCTTGAAGAGTGGACAATGCAACAAGCCTAACCTACCTGTGCTAAGAAATGCCACAAGAGGAAGTGGGGGGCGGCGAGGCTCTGATACCATGTAAAGAACCTTGGGATACACCACCCTTTTAGCTAGCTCAAGGGGTGGGAGTGCCCAAAGCCTTATAAACTCCACATTAGTTGCACATACAACTAATATGGGACTATATATCTCAATAGTAAATATATTATGCTCACATAGATCGCCTCGATTAAATAATATTAAGTGATATGACACCTACCCGAATGCAAAGCTGCATAATAAGTGAAATGTGACCTAATCTCATTTCTGGCCGTCCATTAAGGATTATGCGTAGAATATGATCAGAAAGAACGGAAGCAATGTTGACATTGTTGTCATTAAGAATCTCACAAATCAACGAAGCACACTCAAGGTTCACGTCACTGGAATTTGTTGAGGGAAAGATATTGCTATTAATAAAAGTATACAAAAAGCGTGCATCTGCTGTGAGGTCAGTCCGGGTTAACTTCTCAAGAACATTTTTGTGTAGCTTCTCCCTAGCTAATATGATTTCCTTAGAGCAATCCTTGATCTGATTTTCTCAGCTGATCCTATAAGGTCAGGGCTGTATCGAGTCTTTGATTTGTTGATGGGAGTGGATACCTTTAGAAGTTCTTGAAATGCACATTCCTTCAAAGGATTGTAACTTAGTGCTCAAGAAGCTTTCAATAGTACTAGCATCAAAACGGACTGGTACTCCTCTCACCCATGAAGTCTTACTCTTAGCTATCTCTTCCTTGTTAGCATTGGCACAAAATTCCTTTAAATGGTGTTGGGGCTAGGAACTGGAAAAGTAACAAGCTTCTCCCATTTTCTTCTCTTAATCACTGCAAGTATAGGAGATTTTTCTGGCTGGTCAAGGTTGATTCTCCTCTCCTTGATAACCAACTTGGGTTTAAACCAAGTCTTATATCTCTCTTGACACTCTGGAGATAAGAACTTGTTCTTATCAAAAGGTAGTTGTGCATTGATGGGAATAGATGCCCCGATGTCCTTGCTCTTGTTCTGAGGCTTTTTTTGGTAGTTTGGGTTTCCTTAGAAGTTGCTTCCTTGGGTTGTTTTATCTGTAGCCACCTTTGGTCTCTTGTGCCTGGTAGTTGTATCCTTTTTCTGTAGAATATTTTTACCCTAAAAACCAAAAAAGTCCCAATGACATGAAATTCAACACATCATCAGACAATTCAACATGTTTACATAACAGAACCAGCTCTCATGGTTTCATAAGGAGATCAATAATATTATCAAACAGGTTTTATTCTTGAAAAAACTATTTCTAATAGCTAGTTAAAAAACAGTTCTTAAAAACAAAAAATAAAAATAAATCAAACATACCCAAACTACAAAAAATACATGGAATAATCAATGAAAGAACCAGCATAAAAGTAGCACGAATAAATTCAGTGGTAACAAAAAAAAATTGCAAATTTGAACAAGGAAAAGAAGAACCGAAATCATACCTCTATGAAGAAGAAGAGGAACGAAAAGAAGAAATCGAAAGAACCATCGAATGAGTCCATGAAAAAAAGACAAACCAGGTGAAGAAGAAGAAATTGAAAGCCATAAAATACAAGAACAACAAAGAAAAAAAAGGCCTTTAGTCATAGATATTTTGGGGAACACTGTGGGGATTTCGGCATACCATTTATGCGACTAGGTTGTCTCTGGAAGATTCAAAAAGCTCCAATATTCCGACAACGATGTCGTCCCGATCAATCTTTGAAGAGGAAGGGGGAGAAGTAGTACTGAAGGCTATCGTTTTTTATTGAATTGAGAGCGGTGGAAATGTGAATATTTGGATTTTGGGGAAATAATTAATATGGTTCAAGACTCGCTGCTCCAATAAATTTTTGGTGCCGTTGCACCAAATATTTATTACATCCTACTAATAGAAATATTATATGTCAGTTAAAATTTTTTTTTTTTGCCAATTTTTGTTTCTCTCCTATGATGTGTAATGCTTCCATTGATTGGATGCACTGAATCTTGGTGCAACAGTAGTACCAAAGATTTATTCTCTTTTCACATCATTAATTTTTTCTTTCTCTTTTTATCCTTGTTATTTTCCTTCTTTTCCAATTTTACCCTTCTATTTACACTAAGGGACCACCTAAAAAATGGTGGTCCACCCAAGTGTGGTGGCTTGTTCAGTAGCATGGGGACTGAGTGGTGGAAGAAGATCTCGGTTCGAATCCCACTAACACTATCTAGGGAGGGACATAAGTACTGTAATTCTTGGACTCGCACCCGAACTCTGGATTAGTCCCATAAGCGACTCAAAGAGTCGAACCCGTGAGGATACCAGAGAATTCTGATTCGCCTAAAAAAAGGTAATTATGATCCGTTTCAAAAAAAAAAATATGGTGATTCCCGTTCACGATAAATAATCTCGGATTTTGGAATATTTAGACCGTTTCAATCTTTTTTCAACTGAATAGACCCCACAAAGTAAACTTTATTTTGATTGAATTTGATTTTATTAAAATGCGATTTTATAATAATAACTTATACTTAGAAATTTTTATCTAAATTTTTAATTTAGAAAAATAATATAGTTTTTAAATATTTCATATATATATATATATATATATATATATATATATATATATATATATTGAAATACTCTATTTGATAACTCAATTTGTATATTGAAATACTCTATTTGATATAACTCAACTTGTAAAACACACTGTTAAAATTGAATTAACGATTGCATTATCGGTAAAAGAGAACGTTGCTGGTTTGGTCGGAGTGAAAACTAGGGATGGAGTTTTGGGTGAAATTGTGAACTCACATGTCAGCACGAGGGCTTTTCTAAGGGTTGGTTTCTGCTCATTGAGTCTCTTACTCTGAAACCCAAATGAGGTTGTGGGGGTTGTAAATTTCATAGACAAGAATATGAAACCATTTCGGGTGGGTGTTATGGGTTCCAGAGACAACTCTAACTCCCAAAATTATCATTTTAAGTTAATATATCAATTTAATTTAATACAGCTGCCGCCGAAAAATGAAACCCATAAAATATATTAATTTATAATTAATTTTTAAAATATTATCTAATATTGAATTTTTTATTACAAAACATAAATAATGCATAATATAATAATAAAAAAGCAATTGGAATGAAAATTTCAACTCTCTTAAAAATTACTAGTATGGTCCATGCTAAAAAAATTATTACCGGTGAATGAAATAACCACCATTTTACAACTTTTTGCAACCCTATTATTATATAAATTATGAGAAAAATGTTTGTGTTTGAGTTAAATTTGATAAGTTTTTATATTCTCTCTTCCATTTTCTTTTTATTTCAAATTTTATAAATTAGAGAAAATGATAAAACACACCAAAATGACATAATTTCATTAAAAATAGCACAAAATTGTATCATTTAAAATGACAAACACTAAATTCATAAATTATATATTTTTTTTAAAAAAATATTATGCAAGTCGCATGCTACTAATTTAATATTTTTAATAATATAAGAAATTTTATAGTAATATAAAAATTTCTATTATATAACTTTTATGATAATTTTAATTAAAATTAAAATATTAGCTTATTAATACATTTTCTTTAAAACAAATGTTTACCGAAAAAAAATTATGAAGCAAATAAAGTACCGCTGATTTGCTTTATTATGCAAGTCGCATGCTACTAATTTAATATTTTTAATAATATAAGAAATTTTATAGTAATATAAAAATTTCTATTATATAACTTTTACGATAATTTTAATTAAAATTAAAATATTAGCTTATTAATACATTTTCTTTGAAACAAATGTTTACCGAAAAAAAAAGTAAAGACCCAAATTGGTCCCTGACAAAAAATGCGGTGGCCAAATTAATCCCTAAGAAAAATAAACTCGTAAAATAGTCCCCAACAACGTGAAACAGGACCCTGTCAAACCAAAATTGACGGTGTGAGTGACGGTGCTGATGTGTCACGTTTAGTGACATGCTGAAGCCACGTGAACATCTTGGACGACGTCGTTTGTTGAAGCTCGGCCACCTTGGACACACAGTTCTCTTTCATCCAAGAAACGTCGTCGTTTGTTTGTTAGGGTTCAACTTAAACCAGAAAGCATGGCAATGAATCGAAGGTTGAACGCATGAATTTGGGGAAAATTGATTGACAGTATAGGGAAGGTGGGTGTATACTGTTCGATTTAGGGTTGATCTTTGTGTTTATGCCATGATTATGTCTTCTGGAAGAGGGAGCTCAGGTAGTTCGTTTGGGTCTAGAAGTGGAAGAAGGAGAGCTGCTCCATTGTGTAAATGTGGGAGGCACAGTGTTGTTTACACCTCCAAGACACCTAGAAACCCTAATAGATCATTTTTTGTTGCCCCAACTTCAACGTAAGGTTGATTTTTTCATGCGTTATTTTTGGTATTTCAATCTTATGAATTGTATATTTGAATTTTGTTTAGGAA